TAATTTTGCGGATGATATGAATGTTTTGGTATCTTTTGGTGGATCATCAGAATATACCAAATTAGATGCTTATTTTCATGCGTAAATGTTATGGCAACCATATATTTTACTGCACCCTTTTCTGAAATTTCTATACAATTCCCTTGTTGCCCGTTACAAAAGCTAATACTTGTTGCCCTCAGCGACCGCCCTGCCCCAACCGCCCTCGCTCGGCGGCTTCCCACAGGATGACCTCCAGCGCGAGATGAGCACTGCCCTCAGGACGGGTGACACGGGACCATTGCTGAAGGAGGTGATTCGGCGTGAGTAAGGCGGTTCGGACGGACACATGAACAGGACGTAGATATAGAGCACACGCTTACATACGAACTTTCACATTCACTGTTGGGCAGAACATTCTCATCTGTTTTCTCGTTCATATGAATATGAATTCTGTGAGTAACCGATTTTCCTCCATCTCTCGTCTCTTTCTTCCCCTTCTACGCGCGGCAGGCCTCGACCTCAGACACCTCCTGGCCAGCGAGAGGCTTCCTGACGCGCATCGCAGCTCGCTGCTGTGTTCCACCTGCAGCGTGGGCGTCGCGCAGATCATCCAGGAGGTGGAGAACGGCGCCGCACCCGAGGCCATCGCGGGCCAGCTGACGGACCTCTGCGTGGCCCTCGGCGTCGCGACGCTCAACGTGTGCCAGCACTTCTTCGCCCTCGCTGAGGTAGGTCCCGGAGGCTGCGGGCGGGGACAGGCTCTGCTTCCACTTGGAGCGAATCTCTCTCTCTTCTAAACATGCCTGTCTTTTTCATATTTATACATGAATACGGCTATATATACGGTAAATATGTATGCATATATATATATATATATATATTATATAATATATATATATATATATATATATATATATATATATATATTATATATTATATATATATAATATATATATGTATATATATATATATATATATATATATTATATATATATATATTTATATATATATTATATATGAATATATATATGTATATATATATATATAATATATATGTATTAATATATAATTTATATATATATTATATATGAATATATATATTATATAATGAATATATATAATATATGTATGTATATAAATATAATATATATATATATATATATATACATATATAATATAAATATATATATATGTATATAAATATATATATATATATGTATTATATATGTATATATGTATATATATATATGTATGTATATATATATATGTATATATGTATATATATATATATATATGTATATATATACATATATATATACATAATATATATATATATATATATATATATTATATTATATATATATGTATATATATATGTATATATATATTTATATATATAACTATATATATATACATAATAATATATATGTATATATATAAATATATATATATATATATTATATATAATATATGTATGTATATGGCAATGTTCTATATTACGTCCGCATAACCGATATCGACGATTTTGGTATCGTTGGATTCCTCTCACTCTCCACATTGCAAATATATAGTTTTTATTGCGCGGAAACCCCCATTAGCGACAAACTTGGCCCCGATAGCAGGGGAGGGCATGAAAGGTTCCACGGAAAATGCGGGGTTAAATAGCACTAATAATAGAACGCACAGTGAAAATAACCATGGTTATTCACGTAACTTTCCATTGCAGGAGGCTGCGCCCCCTACGACTCCCCTGGGGGGGCTACCGCCCCCAACCCCCGCCAAGGAAACAAAACCTCCACCATGTATTCCCGGCAGGCTAGAGCGTTACACAATCATCGTCGATGTCGGAGCGGCGGGCGTAATATTACAATTACCTCGTGATTCCCATTGAATCAGCATATTAACCTTAGCATAGTCAGCATTGTATATAGAGACAATTGTAGTATAATCAGATGAACAGGGTGGCCCGCCCTCGTCGGCGGGTTTTGTGCCGCTTTCGATGTTACACCGATGGCCTCAAGGTCGAGTTTCCCGTCCTCTGGAATAACGACATCCGCATTCCTAACCGAAATAACTAGCCAGGAAAAAATGCTATAGGTATGCTTCCGCCACGGCCCCCTCCGTCGGGAAAAAGCTGTATCCTCCGGCCTTGGACCTCCTGCCGGCCGCACCCTGCCTCCTTAACATTCTGCGGCAAAGGAGCACCCTCCCTACTAATTAGCGGCATTAATCAATAAGGTTAGTACCTTAAAAATCCTAGGTTATTGTAGGTTATCGGCTCCGCATATAGTTCGTGTGCGCTCTATCCTGCCGAGAATACATGGTGGAGGTTTTGTTTCCTCGGCGGGGGGTTGGGGGCGGCGCCCCATCCAGGGGGGGCGGCAGCCCCATCCAGGGGGGGTCGCAAGAGCCACAGCTCCATGCTATGGAAAGTCATGTGAATAACCTTGATTATAAAGTGAGAGGAATCCAGCGATATAAAAATCGTCGATATCGGTTATGCGGACGTAATATAGAAAATTACCATATATACATATATGTATATATATATATATATATATGATATATATATATATATATAAATATATATATATATTATTTATATATAAATATATTTATATATATTTATATATTTATATATTTATATATTAATATATATTATTTATATTTTAATATATATTCATATATTTATATTATATTTATATATTTATATCTATATATATAAAATATATAGGTATATATTTTTATATATATAATTATATATATATATATATATATT